CTGATATTCGCCTTTCGTTCCACCTGTATAGGCACGTACCTATGCTAGCCACTGCTGTTTTAACACCAATTCTCCTTTTTTCTACGCCTTTCCGGAGGCTTTTATGCATCGATTCCTGTCTACTTGTTCCTGCTTTTGGAGGGATCCCTTCCAAGCAACCTTTCTCAATATGTGCTCTTAACTTGTCCAATTGGTTACGGGCATTTTTTGAAAGTACCTTCTCTCCTGCAACTTCAAGATTCTCCCAGTTTTCCACAAATCTGTCTAAATTTGTCAACATTACTGAGCGAGAGGGCGTCGACTTCTTCCGTTCTTTCCCAATATCGCCCGGCATTCGGAAAACTAAACGAAATGAATCGAGGCACTGTCTTCTTAACGGGTGCCTTTTTTTAATTTTACTTGTGATGCGTTGTACAGCATGAAAGAGATCAAGTTTAACCGGAATAACTCCAAACACCCCTTGAAGGAGTAACCTCCAGGCGCAACAGTTGTCAATGGAAAATCCCTCTAAGGTAATTCCGCTTTTTACAAGCCTGTTCATAATTCCAACGAGTAAAGTCTTTACTCTTGCAAAACCAGTGCCTCTTGTTAATTGCCAAGCGAGGACAATGCCATCCTCGTTCATGACAGAAAACAAAGAGTCAAACTGACGAATCCAATGGCCATTTTGCCATATACCGACATTACTAGCGACCTTAAATGTGTGGTCAGAGGAGAGCCAACTGCCAGTAAACGATGCCATGCGTGCATTGTAAAGTTTTTCTTTTGTAAAATAATCGTAAACAAAGCACTGGCGAATCAGCTTCCTGTTAGGGTTTAACTGTGAAACCTGCGGCATTGTATATGCATTGTGACTCGCGTCGTTTGCTGCTTCACCCTCTGACGTTCTCATACTTAATATTTTTGATGTCCGAATGCGTACCTCGGTGTGATAACTACGCCACATCTCAGTTAAAAGTGTTTCCACATCCCTGTACCTCATTCCAGACGCAGTATGAACGATAATTAATCTGTATAAACGTCGAGTAATACCATACTTGTGCAAAAGAAGGAATGGGATCAGTTCAACCTGTTCAAACATCTTCAGAATTTGAGGGTCATGACTGATTATCCTGTGGTCATTTTTGCATGCGTACACCCTGCTTACGAGCAGAACATAATGTTCTATATCTGCAAGCCGCCTGGGACTGTTGTGTTTCCAATCTTTCCCATCTTTCCAACATCTAGGTTTCAGTATTTGGCCACAGTGAGGACAAGGTAAGCTTCCATGAAAGTACTGTAGTAATGGATCCCAGATGATAATCCCAGGAAGAAACAAGGTTTCCACGTTATTTTGGTCCACAAAATAATGAATGGAGGTTGTTGCCGTTAGCTCTCCTTTCTCATACCTTTCTATAATTTTTGATATGGCATCTAACAGGTTGGGGGATAGTGGATTACCATTAGTTTCGCATGATACGAATATCAGCACCATGCAGAGTAACAGAACGCAATACGGTTTTCGTAAAGGTACATCCATCCTGGAAAGAGAAGAGAACAGGATAACAACGCTTATTATGGAAAACTCCTTACCGAAAGGAGCCCAGTATGTCACAATTTTTGATTTATCTCACATTACTTCAGAATCCAATTGGATAGTATGTAATACATGGGTTATAACCCACCTACAGTTCAGCATTTATGAGATTTCTCTCTTCGATATCATACGGAGAAAGAGAGCGTGAATTCTATTAAATTCAAGATTTTTGGGGAAGAATCGACCCCTCCCTCTAGATGAACTCGTACATTCTGCGCACGATGAACTTGTGCGTAGCACAAGCTAGTCCTACCAATCTAAAATAGTCACCACTTTCCCTGAATGCTTTTCACCGGAGCGAAGGGGTTCTCCTAGGAGATAAATCATGTCTCGCTCAAAAACGCGAAATTAAAATAATTGTATTTATTTATTCTGGTTGCTGAACAAGTTTGACTAAAATAAATAACAATGACAAAGTAAATTCGGAGAGAAATAAACCGAATAAAAAGCATAACAGGCAAAAACAAAATAACAAGCAACAGAAACACAAACTTACAGAAATTTCCCGAGAAGTATTTGGCAAATAGCGCAACAAATGTGTCATGGATGATAAGCTAAATCCGAAAGCACATTTCCCGTAGCGATTCTAATCGCTCTCAATAAATTCAAATGTCAAGTATCACTCCTTATGAATAAATAACACGCAATGACGTCCCAGTAGGCCGCGTGACAAAAAAAGAAAATTTCACAAATATCAAAACAACTAAAATAACTCGTCAAGAATGTTACACAATGAAATCAGAAGGGTAATTCAACTCTATTTGATGCACACAAATTTAATCTTAATTAAAACGAATGCATTTTTCCTTTAGTCCATTCTCGGAGAGTTAGGAGCAGTCAGAAGGGTTGGGAAAATGTTACCACGAAAGTTTACAAGCAGTAAAGCACTTCAGTGCTTGTAAACTAACGTCGCGCGGTTTCCCGAGGATGCCTATTGCCCTTGCAAACCGTATTGTTAATATGGAGATTGTTTGCCGTTGGCAGGATTCAACAACTTTGCGGATGAAAAAAGAAATATATTTTTCCGCTAAGTTTGTCTCCAAAGGGTTCCTCCAATACCCTTCAAATTGTTACTCCTTTGCCAGAATCAAACTCCGACCATGATTGGATCAAACTTATACAGTGGTACGAAATTCAAGAAAATTTTTAATAAAATTGAAAAGAACGATTGTAAATGACTGTTCCTCTGTGCCCACTGTTCCTCTGTTCCTTTGTTCCTCTGTGCCTACTGTTCCTCTGTTCCCCTGTGCTAACTGTTACTCTGATAACGTCAGTCAGGTCGTCGTACACGAGCCATGAGCCTGATAAAGTCGATGTTGCGGCATACCCGCTTGCTATACGAGACAATTACCTTCGTTTGCTCTCCGTTGTTTGGTCCTAATCATGCAGCGAGGACTCTCTGGTATGTCCAGTTACTTGGATGATTTTATGAAGTGGTTGGCCTGCTATTTTTAATTTCGCAACGACCGTTTTTCTTTTTTTTGTGAAATGGTTTGTTGTTTTCTTGGCACGCTCCTCTCGTAAACAACTTGCAACTGACTTCATTATTTGGCTAATTCGATGCTCACCCATTCTCGATTTGGCCAACCAACACCTGTGGAGGGGCTAGAAACAATTTCAAAGTACAGAGGGCCGGAATTTTTAATTCGTCGGGGTCGACGTGCAAGCCACTCTTCGCAAAGCCGTACGAGATCCCATTCACCACCGTTGGTAGACCGCGTTTGCCGAAGAGAACTTCGGGTTTTGTTTCTCAATCCGCCTTGCCTGGTTTTGGTTAGATTTTCTTCAGACTGAACAAGTTTGCTACCAGCTGCCATTTGCAAAATGGAAAAATCTTCAACGTAAGCGTTGTAATAGTCCTAGCGGCCTCTGAAACCCAAATAATCTGCCAGATTTTTAAAATGACGTTTGTAAAGGCAACACCATTGTGACTTTCAAATTTTCCTTCACTCCAAAATAATTCTTCGTCTACTCGTCAGTGTACGGCTGAGCTCTGTTGGGCAAATTTTCTTGGCCTTGGCATCTCTGACATTTTGCTCGCTGATGGATGCCGAATTGTATTTTCGGCGGAGATACGTGTCGAGTGATGCCTCCACAATGCGAAGTGAGTAGGCTTCGAATTCTCTTCCATTTTTTTCAGGACTTCAGCGTAGAATTTTGTCAGAATCTTATCCAAAATTCGACGGGTGAAGCGTTACTAACAAACTATTGCCAAATTCGAAGGAACCTAGAATGCTTCAAGCCATAATCGGCTCTTTTCCAGGTGCAGATCGAAATCTTCTATTTCTTCTGAATTTCGACATTATTTCTCGTAAACGTAGTGCTGTTATTACAGACATACAATGTACCTTCTTCCTTACGAATGATGCACAAACTTAGAAAGATCGTTTACATATAACAAGCAGGAAAAAAGGCCTTTTGCTTACCAAATTTTTGAGAGATGAACAAATAATTCTCTTGATAGTGATTAATTGTTTGCAATAGTTCAAGAATAAGTTGGTCCTATTTCTCTCTTATTGTATTAAAAGATGTTTGGTGAACGGTGTCAACATTTACTAATCAATGTATCAAACTTCAACATGTGTTAATTGCTTTATCTTTTATCTACTTATCCATCTGTTCATCATTTCATGTGAAATACTTCATCATTTTTTGTTTACATTTTCTATGTTTTTCTTATTGTTTCCCCTTTTCTAGAAACGTCAGAACTTCAAAAGAATGTGCAAGAGTTGAAAGGAACCTCTCTGCATTTAGAGACTACGCGGTAGGAGTAATTCTTAATCATTAGCAGTGATTTGTTAAAAACAACAGTGCACTAACGTAAAATACATGAGTACTTTTATGTACATAATACTGAGGGCCTCAATAGGACTTTTAACTTGCTGATTATTAGTAAATATGGTACAGAAATATAGATTTTAAACAGAGCTTTAATACTTCCCTGGAGCGTAGGCTAGAGGCATCATTTTTGTATTAACAACAGTACACTTCTTCTGCTTTAACTTTTTCAATGGGGTGATCTAAATGTTATTTCTAATCAGGCTGTTGTGTGCCTGGGGGAGCCTGATAAACATTACTATAGGTCCTCTTGGGTGTCATTGTTCCAGACATTACCAGTGTTCTCCTAATTTTTTGAACCATCTTTGGCAGCATAGTAGGTCCAAACCTTATCATGCAAATTGCGCACCTCTATAGCCATCATCATCCTCAGATCATTATGAATAAGAAATCACACAAAAGTGTTGATGTACAAAGAAACTCAATCAGGAATATTGATTTACATTTCTTTTATTGTAATAGGTTTCAGGGGTTGTAAAAGAACTGAAGAAAAACATAAGTTTGCCATTCGTTCACCTCTAATAATCATAATGATCATCCTAATCTTAATAATAACAATAATGATAATGATTGTAAATCATCACTAAGAATATACCATTCATTAGAAAAATGAATCATCCATGATGTTGAGTAGTTTCTTTTCTTTTCATCCTTGTGTTAGGTCTCAGTAGAGTTGGAGGAGCTAACAATAAAGGCAAGTTTAAATTCATCCATTTCCAGTTCTATCTAAATAAGGAAAAAATTACTATTAGTGCACTGTGTTTAACACGAGTTTCTTACTTTATGACAGGTGAAAAAAGATTTGGAAAACATGAAAAACGAGGTAAGTTTCAATACCAATGTTAAGAATGTATTGTTATCTGAATCTCTCACTGTTACAGTCCCTATCATCATTATGTTCAAAAGCAAAATGTGGACTGCTCTACTTATTTTACCAACTTTAGTAGGCCCACTTATTCTCTAACACAGTAATTTGGTCTGTTTTAATTTTTTAGGGCAAAAATACAGAGCTAGAGGATATCCATCTCACAGTGCAGGATGCTGCACAAGTTTTGATTGGTCTAAACACAAGCGTAAATGAGAGGTTTCTACATTTTCAACAAAGCATCATGCAACTGGATCAAAAGGTACATATACCTGAATGTATTTTTGTGTGCCATTTCATACCAAATTTCTAATCAACCAATCAGAGACCTGATCTGAGATATCTTGCAATGCCAAGTCACTGCCCTAAGCTGCATGATATCATGGTCTCTTTCACTTAAAGTTAAGCTACCTAATGGTCATCACAAAGTACATGGTACACATATGCCTCAAAGCCTAATGCAAAAACAGAGACTGTTTTCCATCATGAGTTAAAGAGGATTTTCGAAGATTGTCAAACATATAGCCCATCACCGTTTGCAAGAGTCAGTGTTGAACATTCAAATTCAAGCAAGACTACCCCAGCAAATTTTAAATTTGTTTTGCAAAATGACCTGTTTACATGTATTTAATATCTGTGGAATGGCAGGGGATACTTTTTTTGTATCTAATTTCATGCTTGAAAATGCCACAATTGTGATTAACTTCAACTTAGCCTTAAAAATATCTTGACCATTGACTTAAGGTATAGATGTATCAACGATAAGGGATGGTGTGATATAAGCCTATAGACAGATCAATTGATCTGTGGTGACCATTCCATCATCAGTCCAAACTATAAAGAGATAAAACTCCATAGTTCGCAAATCCAACATTGAGCAAATAAGCATGGTAGAGGTCTCCAATGTAAATTTTAAAAAAACCAAAAAACTGTGCATTTCTTACAACCAACTTAAGTCAATGTTGGCTTCCTTCTAGACACCTTTTCACATTAGAGCCTCCCATTTTGGCAGGGCCACTGCCAATGCCACTGTCACTGCCACTGCCACTGCCACTGCCACTGTCACTGTCACTGCCACTTTCATTGTCACTGTCACTGTCATGATCACTTTCACTTTTACTGTCACATACACTGTCACTGCCACTTTCAATTTCACTGTCACTGATACTTTCACTTTCAATGTCACTGCCACTGTCACTTTCACTGCTACTGTCATTGTCACTCTCACTGTCAAATTAACTGTCACTGCCACTATCGCTGCTGCTGTCACTGTTACTATCACTGTCAATGTTACTGTTACTGCCACTCTCACTGTCACTGTTACTTTCACTTTCATTGTTACAGTAACTCCCACTGTCACTGTACCTTTCCCTTTCACTTTTACTGTAATTGTCAGTCACTCACTGTCATCGTCATTATCACTATCACCGTCATTATCATTGTCACTGTCTCTGCCACTGTCGCTTTCCCTTTCACTTTTACTTTCACTGTCATTGTCACTCACTGTCACCGTCATTATCACTGTCACTGTCTCTGCCACTGTCACTTTCCCTTTCACTTTTACTTTCACTGTCACTGTCACTCACTTTCACTGTCACAGTCAATGTCACTTTCACTGTCAATGTCACTGTCACTCTCACTGTTACTGTGCTCATTGTCATTATCACTACAATTGTAATCATTTTTATTATTATCATTATTGCAGTGGTTATTGTGAATATCATTGTTGTTGGTTTTTTTTAATTGTGTAGGTGAAAAATACTACTGGCAGCACGAGCATCAGAGGACCACCTGGAGTTAATGGTACTAATGGGGACACTGGACCTACCGGACCTGCCGGACCTGGCGGACCTGCAGGATATAATGGTACAAAGGGTGACATTGGACTTGCCGGACCTGCTGGACCTCCTGGACCTGCAGGATTTAATGGCACTCAGGGCCCTGCGGGACGATCTGGACTACCTGGTGTTCAGGGTCTCAGTGGACCATCTGGGTTCAATGGTACCCAGGGTCCACCTGGACCTGGGACCAGTTTAAGACTTTATCCAGCACTGGTATGGCAGCAAATTCGCTCGCCCAACAAGAAATTGTAGCGACTGAACAAAATGTAAGTTGAGTTGAAGATTGTGAAAGTTTTTTGATTCTGACGGAAAAATAAATTCTATTGAAAATTACTTTACGACATATTATGGGCCCATTTCCAACCTTGATGCAACACGGTCGTTTGTTTTTGTTTTGAACCACCACTTTTGTTTTAATAGCGCCTCTGATTGGTTAGTTATTTCTACCTTGACACGTCTCAAAATACCTTCTGCGTTTTCTCCGATGAATTTGAAGAGCTTATGAAAATAATTCTGTCTAAAACAGTTCTGTACGTTTTAATCCGGTATGGAATCAGATGAATCCATTGATTTAGTAGATTCCGAGGCAGTAAACGTTTATGGCTCGGTTGTTGCTAAAGAGGAACGCGAAAATCCTTGCGAGCATTTCGAAGAAGGTGAAAATGTTGATCCACCACGTTTTCATTCATTCATCAATTTTTTTAAATTGAAGTTTGCCATCCTTGTTGTGTCGCTGACGTTCCTGCAATGAAGCGACTAAACTTAAAATAATTAAACGTCCGGAAGTCCGATATTTTTACATATTTCTCTACGAAATCAAAAAATGTTGATACGGAAATGTTCTACCTTCATTAACAATCCTCAAGCGCTTTCAGGCAGCCTAAAATTTCGAACTTGATGTTTTTCGCTAACCCTGTATACAGAGTATGAAGCCATCCAAGCGCTTGACACATAAAAACTTTTCAATGACACGGCTGGACACGGTCCTCAAATAACTTCATATTTCTCTTTGAAATATACCAGTTTTTCGTTGAAAAATATTCTACCTTCATTTACAATCCTCAAGCGCTTCTAGAAAGTGAAAAAATGCCAGCGTTATCCCTTTCGCTGACCTTGTACACAGAGTACGAAGAGATCCAAGCGTGACACTTAGAAAATTTTCAGCGGACACTTCGAATAACTAAGCGTCCGGCAGTCTGATATTTTTCCATATTTCTCTTTGAAATATAACAATTTCTATTGGAAATATTTTATCTTCATTTAGAATCCTTAAGAGCTTCTAGAAAGTGAAAAAAATTGAACGTTGTCCTTTTCGCCGACTCTGTCACAGAGTAAATACTTTTTTTAAGTGCCACGCTTGGATCTCTTCGTACTCTGTGAACGGTTCACCAACGGTTCAGATCTAAGCGTGACACTTAAAAAAAGGTTTCTTCGGATTCTTCCGGACAAAATTCAAAATACTGTAAGGAAACTGTTAAATGACGAACGTATTTGCCGTGAAACAGTTGACTATATGTCCAGGATGGCTCTTGAGAAGGATGATTTTAGAAGGTTATCAGTGATCTGGGAATTTCGTGTTACAGGAAATTGGGTCGCGGCGCGCGTGGCATCAAGGAAATGGCCTTTTACAGTCAAGACAATATTTACCGTTCCAAGGAGTTGTCCAAATGTCGTAAAGCCTCCCTTAAAGTCGTAAAGTTGATTTATTACTTTATAGCCGTAGGCAAGGCGTGAAATTGCGCCTAATACAGGTGCCAATGCGACTAAATTTTTCACTTTGGCGACTAGAATGTTTCATTATTACCTTACTTAGAGATATAGTGAATTAGAAGGATTTGCAAAGATAAATCCGCGGCAAACTTCCTCGTTAAGTTTGTTTCCAAAACGCAGCACATGCATCTCGATCGATAACTAGACACCATCTTGGATTTAGGTGAGCTTGAACGTTGCATATTATCCATCCTAGTGTCCTCTTTGAAACACGTTAAAGATCTTTTCCCAAACTCAATTTCTAGAACGATGGCAGCGTAAAAAAAGGTTTTGTTTTTCTTTGAAAATGGCGACCAACTTTTTTTGAATTGGCTACCACTTTGAAGAATTTAGGAGCTAAGTGGCTTTTATAATCAGAAAAAAAAAAATCAATTTCACGCCCTGCATAAGCCGCATCGATTTGGAGAATCAAAGCTAAAGCTAATTTCCTTTTTTTTAGGTCGTAAATCTCCATCATCATTAAAAAAAAAAAAAAAAAAAAAAAAAAAAAAAAAAGACAAACAAAGGAAAAAAGAAAAGAAAACAAGAAAACATTTAACAACTCGTTCTGAAATTCAGCACGGACTTGTCGGACAAGTTCATTTTGCCGCCTAATGTAAGATAGAATGTTTTTTTAAAAATTTTTTTTCCTCACAATTTCATACCTTTCAGTATATATATGTTTATTTCTCTAATCCCACACTGAGCAATGATATCCTTGGCCTGTCATGGAACAAAAAAACGTTTGCAAATATCATTTTTTCATATCATGACTCTTATAAGTGACAACAAAAATCGATTTTGCACGAACGACCTGCATGCTGAGGGAACCAGTAATCCAGCGTACATTCAAAGGCCAGTATTAGCAAATACGTGGATTTTTCTCTTCTTACGTTCCTAGACGTGAAAGCTTTATTTGTGATTTCCGATTTCGGCATGGAAAACTCACAATAAGTATTCCCATTATTGTAGGGGTCGGCTTTCGTCACGTCGTGTGTACACCCATTGAAGAGGAAAGAAATGTTTTGCTCATCAGCTTTTCGAACTCTTGACGTAGTTTATCATTATCATCAGTATCATAATTATATTCTTTTTTTTTCCTGCCAGGGTAAAATCTTTATTGGCGTAAACTGTGATACAAATGACGCGAAAGTTGCTGTATTAGCAAGCACCATTTCAGGTGGAAAGAGAACCTACAAGTGCTCTTGTTATGGTACCCTAACAACTGGAGAAGCAAAGATGTATTGCTACATGCACTACTGGGAGTGTCAGTTATGAGAGGAAAAACAGAAAGCCAATTTATAAACAGGAGTCTTTGTGTAGAAGATAATACTGTGTTGAATCAGAAACGAGACGAAGAACAATTAGTGGTTTAACGTAGATACTTTTTTTCAAATATGCCCAGTAAACTGGGTTTTCTTTCAGACAGCATTTCAGTCGGGTGTTGTAAAACCAACATCAAAGTAAAATAAAAGTAAAAACGGGTTATCTGCTCAAAGCGTGAGAAAGAGGATGGCGCGAGTTTTCTGGACCAATCACAATGCGGAGTAATGTTATATCAAAGCAAAGTAGCATTACTTCCCACACTCAGTCGAGAGTCACCCTATTTAGCCGCATTGTCTTTACTTTGCATGATGTCAAAGTTAATAAGCCAAGACTTTCCTGTCATCCAAACTCATTCAAAGGTGTACATAATTTTTTTTATCAGAAACGCTGTTTTTTTTTCACCACTAACTTTCGCGTCCGCCCCTTTTGCCCTTGCGAGGCTTACAGGTGCACGGGTACCCTGGAACCCCAGGGCAAACCCCCCACCCGCCGGGTTACGCCCTTGCCATAACAAACGTGTATCATCTAATCATGATTAATTTCTTGCGTGAAACCGATTTCGAGAAAATGTCCCTGGCTACATCAACTTTCAGTATAAGAAATTCAAATTATTACTTAAAGAGAAAATATATAGGAGTAAATCAGGAGCCTCAACGAGATGGCGTTAAGGATCGAAGTGGAAGAAAGTTTTGTATAACTTAGTAGTCATGTTACCCAGAAATTCTCTCAGCGTTACTAGGAACTGTTGCTTTCTCATATTTAAATCCGCACTGATATTTTTAACCAATGCTAAATGTAGACTTCAATCCCTTGGGCTAGCATCTAAACATATTTTGTTTTACGTCATATTTTGTACTAAACGGACAAAAAAGTATTTGTAAGTTAAATAGGATTATTAGCAGCTACAAGTGGATAGCACCGCGACTTCAGCGACTGATATGTTAAAACTGTCGGAAATATGGCTCTAAAAGGTAACCTGATTTGAAGAAATTAACGTTTTAACTTGACAACATGCCTTCTCTTCTGTATTGTGTATGTATTTCATCTAGTATGTAAAGGTATCATTTACTCTGCTCACACATTTTTTGGGAATCATGGCCACTTTAGGGAACAAAATACTGTTCTTTAGCCGAACGAAGATAAGGTGTTATATATTTTAATAATTCAAATTCATAAAGTAACAATAAAGTAACAGTGAGGACATAAGTTGTACAATATAGTAGTCGAAATGCTGACAGCCTTGAGCGATGGTCATCTCATAATGCTCGGTGAAACCCTCTGGGACTGAGAATCTTTATGAAGAGATAAAAATGGTGTCCCTTCTTCCAACCGAGTCGAATAGATTGGGTGAATTTTACACATACTCCATCTCCCCCCTCCAACCCCTGAAGAAAAAGGAAAGCTCGGCTTCGGACACTCAAATAATGCTTAATTCGAGAGCGAAAACAGTTGAATGCATTTGAAATTTCCAAATATTGCATTATGTTAAAAAAGGGAAAAAAGGGTGGTGCCACAGATAAGGATTTATGTGATTGATGGGACTATGAAAACAATCATCGGCTGAAAAAATGGTTACAGTATTTTGCTTTGGAAGAGTTTCTGAATATTTCATTTCCCATCCTTCTCAATGTCTTTACAGCGTTAGTTTGAAATTAAAAGTAGCTATTTCGGAAAATGTTTCATGCCACCTGTCAAATTACCTTAGCATCAAAAGTAATCAAAGGTGGCCTCTACGAAACCAGTGGATCATTAAAGATAAGAAATTTTCATTTAGGTTTGAGTTCAGCCCATAAAGACTAAAACATCCAGAGGAAACCCTCTGTACCTCATTTGCTTCTACCTTGATATCTCACTGTACACTGGAGTGTGGGGTCTACAGTGTAACCTGGATCAATACGAAGACAGCATAATCATTTTGTTTAATAATGCTTTCATCATCATTTAAGGTCAGTTCATCCTTTATTGCACAATCTATAGACTTACGTCGAAACAAATACTTCCTGTCATTATCCTATTTTCAGACGGCCTGCGCACCAGTCAATATTCGCTCTCTCATTATGCAGTGATGACCATATAATCATATCGCATCGAATTTCAGCATTTCTTTGGCCAGCCCAAGCTTGTTTCGCCCCCAGAAGCGACAAACGGCACAATCATACCACCCAATAATGGATACTAAGATCGAGGTCGGGCGGGAGAACATTTATTTCGAAATGGAATCTAATTAAACAGGAAGATTAACGCCGAAACGTGTGACGATTTAGTTGTAAGTATTAAACACTTGTAGGTCTTGATCCATTCAAATCTTAAAAGTGATTGGAAAAGTGCACTAATTAAACGACTCGATGAAGCAAAAAATAATTCACTTCGGTCCTGACCATTTCCTGTCCAACGAGGAAATTAGTGGAACTTCCGTTTCGATATGATTTGAGTATTGTTATTATTAAGATTCCACAAAACTGGACCCTAAGAAAAAGCTATATTCTTTTTTAGTAAAAAGCCCAATTTATCGAGAGACCACTCTCGCATAAAAAATTCACTCCCGAATAAAAAAATTAATTTCTTGAAGAATTTCGTATATAGTTTTGCTTATTTGACCTTCATTTACCAGAGCTCCCCCCCGCATTTATGATTACTATATGATTTCTAAGAAAACTGTTTATAGGGAAACTCCGTTTATCATAATACTTATCCGTAATCATGAATAACAAGGGCATTCCTACTGTGTCTGTATGATTTAATATTTAGATGAGGCGGAGTTGTGACAGCTGAGCTTTCCAACTGAAGAACACATTCAGTGACATGTAGGATGTTGTCACGGTTGCTTAGGATAAGAGGGAAAATATCGTATTTAACTAGCGAATAATCTATCTTTGACATATAATGTGCGTTCTTCAAAAGGGTATCTTGATGAGCCAATTAACACCAAGTTAGTATCATGAAGTATGCAAAGCCCGAATACATTGTGAATGATGCAAACTCTCCGAGTCATTGAAATGAGAACTTTGACCATTTTTGATCTTTTTCCAATATCTAAAAAAGTTAGTCGGGGCACGAAAAGTAAACCATATGCGTAATAAAATCTGATAAAATTAAAGATGAGGTTATAAAAATATCAATAGTGAAAAGCATGACTCTCCATCTTTTCAATAGGGCTTTTGGAATTAAACACGTGAATTCATTTATTAACATGAAAATCACCCCCCCCCCCCCACTGTAAAATTTTAAATTGAAAGTTTGATTAACATACACACCAAGAAAATTCAAAGTTCCATGTAGATAATTAAAAATGGTAATAGGACCGAGTGGAATCCAATTCGGTGTGTGATCATAAGATTGATTGTCAATCACTCGTATCATTATTGACAGAATTGGACGACACTAGGTCCTGTTGGTAATTAATTATGGCCATTACAATTTCGGGAAAAAAAACCAAACAAAAAAAAATATATATATTTATATGAGAAAGGGCTTTTAATAATGATTATCCAAAACATGATCATTAAAATCTTCGACAAACGCGAAATGCAACGTTTAAAAAGTGTCAATCAATTAATCAACCAGGCGTTACAGCCAAGGAACAAAAAATTCATAGAATTTAAAAACTGCGCCGTTGTAAGGTTCGAAGAAACGGTCTGCATACATCTACTACAGCTTTTTTGAAAGGATCTCTTGTAACTATATCAATCGACTAATCTGAGTCCAAGTCGATGATTACGAGCCTTTTCCTTTGTCTTTGGCTTTGCGAGGAATCTCCAGAAGGCACGTTATTGTTTGAGTCGAACACACACTGGTTGAACACTTGACAAGGTGCCTGTTGGAGAGTTTTTGTTGCCATTGTGACAGATTGTGATGGTATGAAGAAAGGAGGCATATTGTACACATTTTTAAAATTGGTTATGATGTTGTATAGAATGATGATGTTTTTATAGGATGACAATGTAGTTTTGTAGTTTTGTAGGTTTAGGATTTTGTTCTTATTTTTATTATGTAAAGCGCTTTTGGACCATTGGGAATTTTTATAGAATGACAATGTAGTTTTGTAGGTTTAGGATTTTGTTATTTTTTAAAGCGCTTTTGGACCATTAGGAATTAGCGCTCTATAAATACTGTTTATTATTATTATTATTATTGCCTGACCCATACAGATTAGCTGGGATGTTTTCCTTCATGTTTATATCTTCTGGGCCGAGATAAGAGGAAGAAATAATTGCCGGTGTTACAGCGGATTTGGACCCCCGCGGATTTGGACACCCCACGGATTTGGACCCCCGCGGATTTGGACCCCCGGTTTAAATCCGCTAGCGGATATGGACCCCCCTTTGCAGATTTGGACCCCCTACCAAACTTTCCTTTTAAGCATCCTTTGTATCATATTTGGTAAATAATTCTATTTGCAAGCTTTTTGTCGATGTTCCTCTCAATCACAACACAACATTCCTCAATAAAGGTTAAAAAAAAAAAACCGGCTATTTCGTTCCAGTTCTACCACAATTATTGTAGCGAGTCGTACAGTATAAGCAAGAATTAGATGTGAAAAAACTACTGCATTCGAACTATTGAAATAGTTACAACAAATCTTTGCTTCTTCTGGTGCGAATCAGCATCGGTACGAAACGCCATAACAATAGTGGAGACTATTGCGTCCAGTCAGAAAAATAACTCAGTCTGATTTTCTAAAATAATAACATTAAACAGTTTCTGAACAAGAACGAAGAAACCACTCTTACTACAAGTCGTTCGTAAAAGTAAAATGTTTCTATTCTGAACTATTGGAACTCTCAGCTTATTTTCAGATGCAAATCAACTTTAATGTCTACGTCTTAACCAAACTGGAGACTATTACATCGAACTCAATCTCATTTTCTAATTTTAACGATTATTAACTGTTGAGGGATCACACACAATTATGAAGACGTTGAGACTGGCGATCTTGACCCTCCGGGGCAGTCTTAAATCTCTCGAAGCTCATGTGTAACTATAATAATCGTATTCGAAACTCCGTTAAACTTGTTTATTTTGTAGGAATCACTCATACATCAATTCGCTCGGTCGAAAAACATTGAAACTCTTAAAACGAAATCAGGATCTTATTACAAAAAAACGC